AGGAAGAGAGGAGCTCAGTGCATGGGAAATCCCCCGAGTCTAGGCCTATAGCAGCATAACTAAGGGAACTAAGCCTTTCTCCAGTCCGCACTATGAGACTACACCACCTGAGAGACCTTGTGTAACTTGCCCACATCCACTATCATCATTTTACTGCTTCAGGAGCTGCATAGCAAGGATTCCCCCCAGTTAGTTTGGACTGAACACCAATATTCTCCCCCCACATGAATGTGGACTTCTGCGGTTTCGGTTTACGCAACTTCCTCCAGATGATTTTCAGAGTGGAGGGGCGGAGAATGATGAAGACCCAAGGGTTGATGATGGAGTGGAACGACAGCAAACGGAGAGCACGGAGGTCAGCTTCATGGTGCTCTTCATGGAAGCCTGTGATATTTATGTACACTCTGAGCTGAGGGTCGGGGGGTAATAAAAGAGAGAAAAAGGAACCAAATATAGTCAGCAGAGGCTTTAGAGATGCAGCACAAAGTAAGACATTATATACACTAACATCAACAAGGTTCAGTTGAAAATGTTACGAGTTGTAATGTAAATACTCAGGTCTTCTAATTTAATAAGAGAATAGCACAAAGCAAGGTTCTGCATTTAAAATGTCACTGAAATAGTAACTAAACCCCAAAACCATTTATTTGAGCTGAAACCCATATGTATATAGGTATTTCGTAGTGTTGTTGATGCAATAAGGTGTGTGAATGTGTATGAATGAGTTAGTTTCCATTTGATGGGCTTTGCCATCACTGACTGTGTGAAAGGGTGAATGTGGCATGTAGTGTAAAAGACTAGAAAGGCGCTATACAAGTACAGGTCCATTTACCATTTACCATTACCAATTAGTACCTATCAAATGCGGTTCAAGGAAGGGAAAGCAGTGAACCAAGGATAGGGTGAAGGGTGAAGAGGGCTGGCCCGTGTGGTCCGACCCAACAGATGAGCTACTATAGCTCATGATTCAGATTGTAAGTTTGTGTAGCGGATCTAAAACTTAACAGCATGACCATACTAAAACATGGATAGTAGATTCTTTAAAATACTAACTGTGAAAAAACAATGTTGGCCCTTAAAACATTTTTACCCAGAGAAAACTTTAAGAATTGTATAATTAAGTAAATCAGTAGAATCTGGATTGAGATTACAGACAATTAAGGCCAGGAGAATGGTGTTTCAGGAACATGAGTTTTTTTTAGATTTCACCCACTGAGAGGCAGGGCTCTTACCACTAAGGGGAAGGTGCAGCAGATGAAGACCGCAGTGATAATAGTCAGCGGCAGGAGATGCTCCACTTCCTCCGACATGGACAGAGACCTGCGGTACCGGGGGTGCGCAGACACCCCGCTGCGGCGCGCTTTGTGCCTCCTGTACATTACCACCAAGTGGAAAATGACAGATATGTTACACAGCACCGTGCTGGAGATGACGATGAGGATGAAAGATGCGTAAAATCCGATGTAAATGTTATCTTTTCCATCCTCGTGGCTCATCTCCAGGAAGCACCAGGTCCCCGGGCAGTACTGCACGTATTTACCAAAACCCAGAAAGGGAAAGACGCAGAAAAGTATGCTCCCCGTGTAGACCAGAGCAATAGTGATGTAACCCCCGCGCTTGATCATGTGCCTCTCGTAAAAGTAAGGGTGACCTATGGAGAGGTAGCGCTCCAGAGCCAGTACGCACAGGAAGGTCAGCGTGGAAAGGCTCAGGAAGGTCATGTTGAACCCAAAGTACGAGCACACCTCTCCTCCTGCACTCATCCCCACCAAAGTCTTCCTCCCAGCATAAGCTGTAATTACAAGAGGACTGACGGAGATGGAGCCCAGCAGGTCCGTCATGAGGAGCGCTGTCACCAGGACCTGGTACAGAGACGGACTGGTTATCCTGCGCCGAACCACCATCAGGACCAGCGCCACGATGTTTCCCACGACCCCGGCCGAGAACATGACCGCAGAGGTGATGGGCTGTCCAGACTCCACGACAACAATGTCATGGCATTTGGAGTGATTTGAAGAATTAAATGCCATAGATACCCCGAATCAAAGCTTGTCCACTTCTGTCTGTCTGCTCAACTGCAGCTGTTTAACAGCGCGTTACAACCACATTGTGGGTTTGCGCCCCACCCACCGCTTCTCATCTGATCTGTTTGGTTTCTGGGGAAGCACACACACTCCATACCAGACACACACACACACACACACACACACACTGAATCAGACATGTTGATCTTGTCCAATGAAACATAAAACAAAGCGGTATTTGCTTCTGCATAATTACTTGCTTGCCCACCTAGTACACAAAAATATGTTAGTTAAAATGATTTTAGGTGAGAACTAGGCAACACAGTAACATAATCTTGATTCATATTTTAGCACTGCCTGACCAACATTTACAAAACGAACTTCATGCTGTTTGGAATAAGACTTGAAACTAGTGATTGAGACCATTATCTCATTAGGAAACTGTTTACTGAGCTCATAAATGAAGAGAGAGGTTGGCTAATTTCTCTATTAGAGTGCATGGTATCGTTTTTATTGCAGCTAATGGAGCTCGCCCTGCTGGCCTTTGCAAAGAATGCAGGTTTAAGACACTTCCATGTTGGCTTCACTTTACAGACCTGGAAGCTCTGTCCATTATATATACTTGTCAATGGTTGCCAGTCACCCCCTGTAGTGCAGGATTATACTAAGTTGAAGAAGCAATGCAAGGGCAGAGGACACAGCTACACAAGTTATTTTGACAAACCAAACATTTTGCCTATGTGATCTGATGTTTTAAGATGGAACTTACTCTCATTTACACTTTATTTCCTTTATGTTCGTGTTGAGAGTAGCAGAGAACTGAAATCAGAATCAGAATCAGAATCAGAACTACTTTATTGATCCCCAGGGGAAATTTGTTCGTTATAGTAGTTCTACTCACAAAACGTTAAAGAAATAGTACTACTACTATATATATATATGTATACTATACAATATCTAACACACTATATAGAATAACAATGAATATATAGGTATATACTGTCAAGCCCAAAATTATTCATACCCCTGGCAAATTTTTACTTAAAGTTACTTTTATTCAACCAGCAAG